CATCTTTTAATGAACTAATTAGAATTGTTCTTAAGTAAACACCCTCTAAAACTAAACAAAATTAAAACTATAAATTACTTCTTGATATTTTCGACTTAAAACTTGTTCCAATTTTTCAATAATTTGCGGTAAATGTTCGATAAGTAACCGTTGTGGACAATCTTCTGAAAAATTGACTAATGCAGCACCACCATGCGCTTGTGTTCGTGGATTATCATGATCATCAAGAATTGATAGAAGACCTGGAATGACTTTGGCGTGAAACTTTTTTTGAAACGTGCCTTGAAAATCCGTTGACATTTGCCCTAATGCATTACAAGCTGCGTAACGAACACGTGGATGCTTAAATATAAGCGAGAAAAAAACATTACTTGAAAAAACTAAAAAATTGAAATCTCTAAATAAGCATACTGAATCTTTCAAAAACACTAATATTCCATTAACGAGATCATCAAGCATTGCTGACATTTCTTTATGACACCCTTCACCTGTTGCTGACAATGCCATTAAGCCAGCATGACGATAACGCCAATCGGCTACGAAATGAAAAGGAAATAAATTTTTTCTTTTGTCGAATAAAAGCATTTACGATTTTGAAGCATTGTTTGAACAGTAATTAAGATATAGCTAAGTACGGTTTTACCACCAAGTGCACAGGCAAGACGATCTAATGAACTTTCGCCAACAACAGCATTACTAAACGAAGTTTTAAAATTTAACTTTGAAAATTTAAGAATAAAGAAAATCCTAACCTATCATCTTCTTCTTCGTCAATCGTATCTTTTGTTGACCATTCAGAATCATCATCTAAATCGACCATCATTTCAAGTAATTGAGGAACTAAATAATGCGAAAAAGAACTATTGTTTTCTCGTCTTATTGTCTTTGTTTCGTTTTTACCAAGCCTATTCAGATATTTCTTGGCTACTTTACGAACCATACCACTGGCCGTTTCAGCAAGAGTTATAAGTACTTCAAGAGCTAGATGACGACGCGATTCTTCAAACTTATCTTTTTCTTGCATAGCCTATTTAATTATTATTTTGTAGAGTTTGAATAAAATAATTTTACACTAATTAAAACTAACTTGAAGACATAAATTAAATATATCATCAATTGCAGGACGAAGATATTTTGGAGAATTTTCAGCGATATCAACCAATGCCTTTAGTACGGTGTCATCATCTGTATTAGCCAAACTATGCGTTATTGTCTAAAATATTTTAAAAAAATTAACAAAACTCAAATACTGTTGTTCATTAAATTTTTCTTCTACTATTGAAATAAATATTTAATCTTAATCTTAGAAATTTTTAATACATCATGCAGTAACTAGATAGTTGGAATAGTCGATCAATATCCATCGATAAATTTTTGCATACTCATATCGTGAACCAAAGTTTAATTTCATATAACTAGATGCAAAAACATCCTATATAGTATGCTCATTTCAAAATTTTCAAACTTGAATCTGCATTCAACAAAGATTCTCGGATTGTTTACGAACTCTTCAATATGTTTATTTTTGTGTCAAAATAAAAAATTTTGAGTACTAGAACTAGTTATTTTCAATAAGAACTCGTTTGTATGGGTCTTCTCTTTCAATCTCTGTCAAAATAGAATTTAAGTGCAAAATTGAAGTGATAATCATGTTTATCTACATTTTATTCAATCGGAATGAAACAATATTTGGCATAATATTAGAAAGTATTGATTAAGATCAATACTATAAACAAAACTCCCTTTTTTCGATGGATTTCATGATTTTTAAAAAGAAATTTAGTAGATGTACTGACTTATGGTGTTTGTTTCAAGTTTTGAAACGAACATTTCTAGATTTAGAGAACTAATTAAAAATATGACCGTGTCACAAAATAAACCGAGGCAAAAACTCAATTATTTTTATTTATAAATTAGGTGATTAAATGTGGTAATAATAATACTAAATAAGCCATTTCGGTTATCTTTTCATCATGACTAATCACTTCTTTCATTGAAAAAGAACCCAGATTTTTACAAATAAATAAATACAATATACTTGATCATATAAATAAAAGATACTTTGTGTCTAATATTTTTCGATTTTTAATTATTAGTAAATACTGTTTCATTCATTGATCTCAACTATATTATAGTTTTTCAAATGTCAAAGACGTTTCATTTACACAAATAGCTAATTGAAAAACATTGTAAAACATACCGCAATAAGACATGGTAAACAATCTCGATAAACATTCAACAATTGCGTATTATCACAATTATGTTTCAGATAAGCAGCAAAAGCTGTTGCAGCTGTATAACGAACTTCTGTATCTTGATCATTTAAACAATTCAAAAAAATTTGATGAATTATTTGCGTTAATTGTTCAGCTTGATTACCAAATATACCCGGAAAAGCTCTAGATTTTATATGAAACAAACGAAAATATTTGTTGAAAATAGAAATTATTTACTCAAAAATAATTAGAGATGATTGTTTTAAAACACTATGTGGTGAATTAGCTGATTGAAAAAGAAATTCCATAACTTCAGGCCATTGTGATTGATCATTTTCATCTTTAATTTTAAGAAAAAAAACAACAGTATCCATATCTTCATAATAGTAATAAAGTATGTTTTTGTTTTATACCCATCAAATTTCTAGCTAATTCAGCAACGATATAACAGACTTTTTTTCGAATATTTTCATCATCATCTATTTGTGTTATACGCGCGAGCAATTCTTTTTTTAAAGCCATTTGTTGATCAGGGGAATATTTTGACCAAAAATTTTCATATTGTGTTTGAAATAAGCGTCGAAGTAAAACAGCAGAAAATGCTCGAAGCTTAATTAAACATGTAATTTATTTATATTTCAAAAAAAAAACATCCGCTTTCTCTGTTTTTTACCGGTGTATCTAATGCTGTATTTCGCAATGTTGACATTAAGAGAATCGTTTTTTGTTCATCGGGTATCTCTTGATAGATAGCCTAATCATATAAAAAATACATTATATTGAAGACAAAGAATTTTGCAATTAACCTCGGCAGCTGTACGCTTCTCATTATCAGGTTGTAAACATTCTTGTAATGTAACAAGAAATTTTTGTTCATCTGTAGATGGTATTGTTGCCATTGCTTTAATCAGAAACAATGCTTAAATTAGATGGTCGATAAGAGAAAAACTTAAAAGAGATGATATCTACAAAAATAATTATCAAATAGAGCAAAATCGGTATGAATTAGTTCGCCATACAAATGAATCGTTATAAAGACTCAATTACGGGATATGGACCTTTGTTTATTCGGATGTTAAGATCCAATCAGTTGTATCCTTCCACTATTTCACAACAATTATATTTTTTTATAATGTTTATCATTGAATTAAACATAACAGGATGATAGGGAAAAAAGGATTCATTACACTGTAAATTTTATCATAAGTTATTATACGAGTTCATAATTGAAAACTGATTGTATTTGCATGACATCTTTCGCATACAATTGTCTAATATCCTAAGTCAATTATTCAACAACGCTGAAGTATTTGAGTTTGCTTGTTTCGGGTGGAATGGACAGGGTAGTCAGATCGAAAATTGAAAAATCAGAAAACGATCAGAAAGCTTTGTAGGAAAATCAGAAGTTTACCAGAAAGATTATTTTTTGTGAAATAGCGACTTCTGTATAAGATGCTGGCATTAACTATTCCACTAGTTTTATGTCATTGACTGGTACTTCATTTCCAAAGATTTGTCACTATAAAGATGAATATTCATCAATCGATAACGAATCTTTACGAAAAGCTCCTTTTTTCCTTTATTTGTCGAAATGATATTGCTGTGGTTAATTAATTTATGTCGACTTGTTTCTCTTCACAATCAAATTCAATCATGTTAATATCATCCAATAGATAATTTTGTCTTTATTCGTGGAATGTTCAATTAGATAAGATTCTCGATATCAAGAAAAGAAATTTATCAAATTCTAGTGCATTGCTGTAGCTGAAGGTGCCTATATAAGTCAGAAATTGCCAACGGATAATTGAGAAAAACAAGGTGGCGCAATATACATCTATAATAGTAATGTGTTATAGTTGTACTGAACTGCGCTAGCAAAACTGGCATCTGAAATAGTTTCGAATTTGGAAAAAAATCAGAAGAAAATATTAAAATCAGGAAAAATCAGAATATGGTACGAAACTCAGAAGATAAGAAGAAATTCAGAAAGGACTTCAAATTTCAGAAAATTTCCCTACTTTTCAGAAGATCTGGTCACCCAGGTAACGGAATCTAATGTTTTTATATGATGATTATCAAGATTCAATAGCTACTATTGATACATTAATTGGTGATTATATGATGTAGTTTAGATGTCAACTTGATTTTTTTGGATGATGTAGGTGACAGATGAATGGAATTTATTTTATAAGTAAATTCACATAATCGTGTGTGAAATATATATCGTTTGAACAAGCGAAGTTGAAAATTGTTCATTTGAAAGAATAAAATGGAAAACTTGATTAAAAATGTTTCATGAAAATTTTGACTGATAGGATTCCTATACATACAGTAACACAATGATATTCCAGTATGGAAAATAGAAAAGTATTCTCGATAGAATCTTATTTGACATGACTGAGAAAAATAATTTTCATATAACTTAAGATTAAATTATATATTCTAAAGATGTTTGTGGTTTTCAAATAACAAGAATCACAGTATTAAATTTAGAATAAATAGAATCAATCTACCCATTGAAACGTTTGACGCTAATACATCTAACGTTATGATGCCGATAGTAAAAGAGATAGTTTAATAAAAAATATCAGTGCCATTTCTTTTAATTAATTAATTAACATAATCTTATCTTTCAACGGCATACAATTAAATATAAAAAAAAGAAAAGAAAAATGAACATAAGATTCTATACACACTGTTCACACTCTTATTCATATACTTGACACGCATATTTAAACGATAAATATTATCATATTAAGTGTGCATGTTGAGAAAATTTCCAAATTAAGTATACATAAGTTCAGCTGCACCAGATAATGATTTAGGCAAATAAAGAAAATTATCTAAATAAGCAGCTAATTCTTCGACATTACATGAATTAGCTGTTGTTCGACATGTATCAACAATAGTACATGATAATTGAGATTGTGTTGTTGTTGTTGTTGTTGATGATTTTAGTTCGTCTTCATTAATCGATGGAAGTATTGATTTCGTTCGAAATAATGTTATCGTGGGTGATGAAGAACGACGTGTTCGAGGAGGATTATCTGTTGATAATGAACGAAATCTTTTTAATAGAGATGATGAAATACTCAAATGCATTGACCGAAATAACGAAAGATTGCCATTTCTAGTTATATTTGATTTTGGTTTTGATGATGAATGTAAACGTTTAAGACGTGATGAACGAAATGCTTTTACTTGATAAGATGGAACCGAATGAAATTTTGATGACGATAAAGTTTTAAAACCAAATGCAGTTTGATCAATCAAATTACATAGTTGATCAATATCAGAAACAGATGAGGATAGTTTATTAGAATTTACAGTGTGTTTTCTTGCTTCAATTTTTTTATATTGATCCATTTCAGCATTTGATTTACACAAGAATTAAAGCATAAAGTAAAAGCATTAACATTAATTTAGATGATACACTTTTCGAAATTTAACAAAAGAATCATAGATAAAGACAAAGAAAATGGCGTAAATGGATCGATGATTCACTAAAGTCGTGTGTATTATAGAAGATTTTTGTCAAAGTCGAATCGAGTCAAGTCGGGTTTGGTGACATTATGATTTTATATCTACCTTTATGATTTTTTATTCTAATAAGTGAGAAACCATTTTTTTAATTCAGAAAAGCTTTAATTTTATAGTAAAACATAGAGTTTTAAAATGGTTGATTTTTTTGTATGAATGTGGCAGATGTCACTAGTAATCTAGCGTCGGAATTATAGCGTAATTATATTGATTCTTGCTAGTTGATGGTTGGAATTGGAATCATTCTCTTTTCTTTAAAGAAAAACAAGAATAAAATTGAATGCAACAACTTTTCCGACTATATTTCAGTTCTTCATTGTGACATGAATGAGATGAGTTTATCTCATCAATGTTTAGAGATAAAAACTAAAATGATACAAATTTTGCTCGGAAAACTTTGTTAGATTCTTATCGAATGTACAGACCATCGAGTTTTTTCCTAGGTATATTGATGTTGATATGAAATAGTCAAATAGATACTATCTTACGTTTGACTAAACTTTTCTAGACAAAAATCGAATTACGTATCTTAAAAATGAATTAAATACTATAAGAATATCAATACGGTTGCAAAATAAATGTACCTGGTTTAGGATTATTTGATATGATATCGTATCAAATCTGAATGCTCATAAATATAGGATGTTAAGAATGAAAGAATCTCACCGATTACTTATAATAACTGTAAAATGTATATGTTGATTTGATTATCATTGTTTGTATAAAATACTGATACCAACAAACATGTTGTGCATACAATTTCTTGTACAGGATAAATAATTTGGAAGCATGCCATCCAACATTGCTACTTAAGAATGTCTAAATTGTATTGAACCTTTACATAAAACAGTCAAGCATGTAGAATAGAATGACTCATGATACGCAACATTTGAAACGGATTATGATAACAAAGTTAACGTTCGGTATTTTTCTTTAGAAAATTACATTCATTTTTAAAAAGCATTGCATAGAAATATATTACTAGTAAAATACATTTAGCATCAGTAAATGACTGTTATTTAGTATCAAAGAGTTGTCAGTATCATCCTCAACGCGCCTAACAGCTGCCAAATGCTTCTTTTTTTTTACATCCAGTGTAATTATATCTCGCATACACGCTATTGAACGACCTACTTTAATTTCTTTTTTCATCAGAAGAATAAAGTTTAATACAGATGTGATGTGTTACATAATTTGTTATCTGGCATCGTTGATTTTTCTATATTCTATCAAGCTTCTTTTTATAGTACTAAAATCTTCTTAAAAATAAAACATGTCGGAGTAAGTATACATGTGTCGATGATCAAGTAGAAAATAAATCTGTTCGTCAATCAATAATAGTCCTTTTTATGTATTACAATACAAGTTTTTTATTGTAATTTTGAATATTTATACGTAGATGAAGTACATATTGTTAATTAACGTTTTGGAAACGATATTCAATCACAGATCAATAATGAGGACAACATTTACAATATAGAGTTTTACACTGCTTATCAGTTCAAACTTTGGAGATCTACTTTCTCTATTTTTATAATTTATACTTCATGATTGCAAGATGCTGGTTAGAGTAACACTTAGATTAAAAGTAGTATCGATCGCATACCAACTGTTACTGTTCATAACAATGCTTTGAGAAGAATATAAGAAATAGTTTTCTTTTAAATTATCGATTACATTATAAACTCATTATTTTTTCTACTAACTCACATCGGACACTTATCATTGAGAGACAGCATTCAAAAACACTGAAACAAGCTAATTCCAAATGAATCGAATCTTTAGTTTCACAAACTTCTGTTCACTCTAGAGCACGAACCATTTATCAATGGCAATACCATTCATTTGTATCAAGTAGGTTTTCAGATTAATCCAGTTTCTTTTATATCCTTAACAATTGTTCAATGCAGATACTACGCGACCAGAACAAAATTAAGTGCTATCTTTGGCGTGATCGGTGTTTCAGGTGTTATCATTACAATAATCACTGTTCTGTTGACTTTGAATCACAATAAATGAACAATCTCTACAACAGCAACACCGTCATCAGGTACGTCAGTCAAACAGATGACTATACTAATAATATGATTTATATCAAACCGCGTTCAAACACGATGCTATACAAGTATGAACATGATAATAAAACTTGAGTATCAACGAATTGCTACTCTCTTTTTTCGGATTTGTGCTCATATGAAGTACGGTATAAACTTGACAGTATGCTTCGAAACATTTCTCAATCTATTGACGTATTTAGCAAAATATTTCATTGGAATGTGTGAAAATTTCCACAATGTTCCAAGACTACATTTTTTTAGATTAAAACAAAATGATAAATTAACTGAGTTTCATACTTCACAGATCTTTCCATTTAGTGAACATAATAAATTTTTCATCATATCGATATTACAAATATCAATGAGCCAAGTCTTCGTGTAGTTTCTAATGAGATGTCGAAATAACAAAACAGCAAGCTTCTAAAATCACATAGTTTGACGAAATTGATTCTGTAACAGAAACAACTACTGTTTCTTTTTGTATCGCTATATTTTACTAAAAGTTACCTGAATATAAAGTAACATTGAAATCGCCAGTGGCAATTGAACAAGTTTGATATAAATTTCAGTTGCTTGGTGAAAACCAAAAGCAGATAAACACTCGGCGATTCGTAGAAAGCTATGATGCTCAAACTACTTTCGATAGAGTTAAGTGAACAATAAAAATGAATATGACGACGAGGATGGCGATCGAATAACTTGTTCGCAAACGAAAATTAGCCTGGATATATTATATTATTAGAGTTTCAGGAGTCTTCAATAAATCGTAATACTATCCCCTATGATTTGCGATGTAAATCCAAAAATATTGCACTCAACTAGTAATTAATTGATGATTTTATTTACTTAGATTCTTTTTAAGAAAAATTCTCTTAAAAAAACCCGTTGCGATATTGATAACTTGAAAGTATCTATATTGTGTATACGAAGAGCTCACTTCTCTATTTATGTTACATATTTTAGATGCGGCAATATCCATATCAGGTTCAATAAGGACAACAACAAGTATTGATGCAACACCAAATACGACCAACTTGATTGGTAAGTAAATTAATATGATTTTGTGCATATATACATTCTTACTGCAAACATTCCTTTTTCTGACGTAAGGCTGAAATAATATATTTTAGATAGTACATTTATTCATTCAAATACTACTGCTACAACAACAGCAACAACGTTATTATACAACAGCAACAGTGCCGTTTTCAGCTCTTCAACAAAAACAACAACAACTAGTAGCCAATCAAATTCTTCTATTGCAAGTCAGTATCTTGACTTTTTCGAATACACACTAAAAATATTGGGGGA